CTGTTTGATTTGAAGCTGTTCTCGGTTTGATTGCGGGTGGATTGGTGTTGCTTCTCCCTGAAACTAAAGGAAGAGTTTTGCCTGAGACTATTGAAGATGTTGAAAACTTACACAGGTGAGTCAGGATGATGAACTCTCAGCAGCTTTCACTTGAAATTGTGAAAAATCCCTGCCCGGAGCTCCTTGGGGAAGCCCAAGGGCTACTTCACTGCCTCCTATGTTTCCGAGAAGTTGCTAGTTAATTCCCAGACTCTAGCTGGAATTAGAAAATTATAAAAAATTTGTTTTTACCACTTGTCTACCTATGCGTCTGAAAACAAGCAGTACAGGTCTTTACTGGCCTGTGAGTAGCTCCAATAGTCTCTCAGACCGGCTGCAACACTGTTAGAAATGTTATTTGTGCTTAAAAAAACCCCTGACTGATCTTGTGGAACAGAAGAAGGGCATTTTCAATAGCAGCTACTCGTGCAATGAGCGAAGCACCAGTATCTACTGAGGAGCCAGAGCAAGCCTCTAGAGGCTTTGAGGATTAGCTGCTCATGTTCTCTGGGGAAGAGGCAGGGCGAGTGAAGAACTTGAAGTTAGGTGCTCACTGAACACCTTCATTCCTGGTTTGTTGTTCATGTCTTGTTATTCTTGCAGGCAAAGTGCTCCAAAGGCCAAAAAGATCTATCACCACGTCCAAACGTCAGAAGTAGCACATGACTGAAGCAGGGCTCTTTCTGGGCAGCCCGCTTTAAGCTGCTAGCATGGAAGGGCAGATTGGAATAAATTTTATTTCCTGTCTCGCCTCTTTTTTTGTCCACCTTTATTTAAAATGTTTGGGAGTTTCTGATGGCATCACCCCTGTAACTGCATATCTGCTTCCCTCTCTATACACTATAATATAAATGTGTTTGGGAGCTGGGAACTTTTTGTACCAGCTGTGTGGACCTCAACATGGGGGTAGTGGGATCCATTGCAACAGAACTTTATAACCCTCCATGAACTCTGTTGTTTGGTCTTATGAAGGGGCAGCATAATGTAACAGAGGTTTACTTCTCTTGTGGAACTGAGATGACTACAAACCTTGTACAATCCTGTTATAACTTGCAACAACTTTACATAGGTGTTTTTTTTCTAGTCCTTATGTGTTATGGTGTTCATTTGAGTCCGTGTGCCTGTACATTAGCCCTCATGGGGTTTTTATTGGCTATCCTCAAACGCACAGAGATGGGCATGTGGCAAATCCAGAGCGTGAAAAGGGGTCCATGGGAGAACTACTCATAGCCCTTCATAAAGTAATAGCTTTGCTCAGTTTTCAATGTGTAACTATTTAATTTTCTTGTCTTAATATCATCTTCATAGTGGATAATCTATCTGGTTTTTTTGTACAAAACTGTTTTTATAAGCCTCCGTAGCATTATAAATGCGTGCATGAGCAGACATTTAGAATTTTATTAAAAGTATTATATAGAGTGGCCAGCTGGGGGAGGGGGTGGAGGGAGCATTACAGCTGCCAGGAGACTGAGAGCCCACCAGAGTCCGGCTCCACTGGAGGCTCAGGCTGGGGCTGGGGCCAGGACAGAACTCTATCTCTGTGTTTGGTGGGTGCAGCCCTTTGGAGTCAGCTGGGCTCAGGCTTGGGGACCTGCAGGACTCTAGCCAGGGATTTGGCCAGGGGCCCTGTGCCTTGGGGAGTATTGGAGAGAACACTGCATCTGCCAGGAAATTCACTATTTTCCCAGTCCATCCCGTTGAGCAACTAACAGACTTGTCGTTGCAGAGGCAAAAGGGCACAGGGGTACTGTGGCTCCCTTTCACTTTTTGTGTTGCTGGTCCCTAGAAATGCTGGGTTTCAATAAGGATGCTGCAAGCAGGGCAGAAGGTACAGCTGCCCTTTAATGATCATCTGCAGGGAGAGAGCTCCCAGCTGAGCAAAGTGTTGCTGGACTCTCCCAGGCACAGATTCTCTCCTGGTGTGGCAGTACGGTGACCTTGCCCCTGCTTTCAATGGGCTGAGCCTCAGTTAACGTTCAGTGTTGTTGTGGGAGCTTCCAAGGCAGAGAAGCAGGGCTATGATGAGGTTGCTCTGAGAAGAGTAGAGACAGATCAGGAATGATGTGACTTTGGCCTGAGCAGTTCCAAAACTAGTATTTGCTTCAGGGTTAGAGGGGAGCAAGCTGGTCCCAAGGTGGGCGAGAGGGACAGGGGGGATGTAACTGTGTCCTGTGGAGCTGTGGTTGCAGAGATGTCTCCCTTCTGCAATGAAAGAAATCTGTCAGAACAGCTGTCTTTATTATAGTTAACTGATTCTCAAAACCTGTTGAAAACTCTACAGAAAAAAAAGGGGGGAGGTGGCAAGAAGTCAAGCAAAGCAAATACAGGGATGAATAAATGAGTAACTACAGAAGCTGACTCTCAAGACCCTTACCCTGGGAAAATGGAGAGGGGCATGGTAGGAGTGGATCTCCTCCAGGGTATGAGACAAGCTAGCATCCTGCCTTAGATAAAACAACAATTTGCCACCTTCTTTTCCCCTTGATAGCAGCTGAAGCTTGGCTGCTCCTGTGGCTGCTGGAGTGTAACCAGCTCCGTGGCAGGGCTGTCCCTGCACCTTGGGAAGGAGCACTTCAGGGCTCAGGCAACCCATGGAGCACCTGGACAGGGCTGTTTCCAGGTTAATGGAAGTGAGACTGACCTTTTAAGAAGACCCTGTCCCTTACCCAGCTACTTAAAACTGGGCTATGTAAGGACTGTGCCTAAAGAGACAATAAGATCCCCATGTTTCAGGGTACCCACCAACGTTCAGCAACTGGGTTTTGGAAATAACTACCCTTTACTTTTACAAAGTTTCTGGTGTTCTCCCCAGCATCATCTGATGGACAGTCTGGCTGCAGCTGTGGTCCAGGGCAGCCTCAGGACTGTTCTTGTCCTCTGCTGTTGCTGTGAGCACCGATACCCAAACACCTCCATGCCAGCATAGCTGCTATTTGAAGACTCCAGTACTAATTTTACCCCATCAAACGTGGCCACAGGTTCTGTGGCGTGTCAGAGACTCATTAATGCTTCTTGTCTGCAAGCTGTAATCTTGACATGGTTGTTCTGTTGGGGTGTTCTTGTGTGTGTTCATGAACTGGCAGAAGATCACAGCCTACAGGCCAGTACAAAGCTCATGTGGTTTCCCGCTCCCCTGTTTTATTTGCAAACAAAACTATGCGTGTGCTAGATTTTATTTGCAACTCGTTCCAGTCCCATCCCTACTGTATGACACTATGTCATCCTGCATTCTGCAAGTGTTTTAAAATATGAAGAAATTGGGCCTTTTCCCAGAACTGGGACGGGTCACGAGACAAGTCCAAATGCAGAGAATATACACAAGTTGATGAATTTGATGTGAATCACATTTTAAGTGCTTCCCAAGGGCTATGGAGAGGACACTTCAACCTTCAAAAGAACTACAGCAGTGATTTTCCAGCATATTATTGAGAGAGATCTACTTAAAAAGCCTCTTTTTTTTTTTTTTTTTTTTGGCTCATCTTTCCCCTCAGCATTAGTTCTTATCCCTTACAGCTGCTTTGAAGTTTGGCCATGCAAAAACCCAAACTCATGGCATTAGGAAAACAATAGTGTAAACACAAGTATGAATATTCTTTAATATGTCTTGTTGTTGTTCATGCCACTCCCACTGGCTGTCTGTGATGTGGTGTTGTCATTGTCCCCCCGCCCCATCACTGATCCCTAATGATGCTGTAGTTGCATGCAGCCCTTGATGTCCTGAGGCTTTGTTGCCTCCAGCTCCTCTTCACCTTCCTTTTGGTTTTCCAGCTTGCCAAATATCCAGTCAAATTCTGGGATGCCAAAGCTTAAAAAGCCAGTCTGGGCTTAGAAATGTTTATTTTTTGTACCTGTGTCTCTAGAAGAGGAGGAGTAAACTGGGAGGGAAGAGGGGCTTCTGTATGCCCCAGGCTCCCAAAAGTGGTCTCTGCAGGGGCGGTGCTTGCTGTTGGGCAGCAGGAGCCATTGACTGAGGATACCGAGATTTTAAGGGGTTTAGGGGGAACTGCGACAGTAAATCAGTTACTGTCTACACGCTTGCTTTCATGTAGAATCAGGTGTAGCTTGGAGGAGGTGAGCTGGGCTCATGAAGGCACTCCTGCTCACTACGGAAATGAACTGCGAGTGTGCAGCCCAAAGAGATTTGCAGTTTTATAATGAGCAGAAGAAAGTGTTCCTTCATGCATTTCCCAATCATGCCATACAAGTTGCTGCTGACAGATGCCCCGGGACGCCAGAAACATGCATGTGTTTAGAAAGCAAATAGAAAAATTTGTGGAAGCACAGTCCCCGAGGGGCTGAAGCGGAAATGTGGGCAGACAACCGCTGGCTCGGGAAGTCCCCAAGCCGCAGACTGCCGGCAGCTGGGAGAGTGCAGTGGGGAAAAGATCACCGCGTTGGCTTGGCAGGTCCCCTGCATGGGGGATCAAGGGCTGGGCTTGCTACAGCCACCCTGCCGGCCTCCTTCTGCCTCCCTGCCTCAACAAAGGCAGAGTGGGGGCAAAATGGGTCCTTGAGGTGCTGGAGCGTGTCCAAAGAAGGGCAACAGAGCTGGTGAAGGGTCTAGAGAACAAGTCCTGTGAGGTGAAGCTGAGGGTTGTTCAGGCTGGAGAAGAGGAGGCTGAGAGGAGACCTCATCACTCTCTACAACTACCTCAAAGGAGGGTGCAGTGAGGTGGGTGCTGGGCTCTTCTCTAAAGGAACAAGTGATAGGACAAGAGGAAACGGCCTCAAGTTGTGCCAGGGGAGGTTTAGACGGGATATTTGGAAAAATTTATTCTCTGAAAGAGTGATCAGGCATTGGAACAGGCTGCCCAGGGAAGTGGGGGAGTCACCAGCCTTGGAGGGATTTAAAAGACTGTAGATGTGGTGCTTAGGGACATGGTTTAGTGGTGGACTTGGCAGTGTTAGATTGGACTCGATGATTTTAAAGGTCTTTTCCAACCTAATTGATCCTGTGATTCTTACTTGGGGGCAGCTTCGGAAGTCAGAACATGGAGATAAATCATTTTTTCTTTCCTTTTCTCTTGCCTGCGGAAGGAAAGGGGAAAGGGCAGAGGATGCTCCTGGTGAGCATGATCCACCAAATAATCTGTATGCTCACATTCACTGAAAACTAGGTTTAACAGATGTCTCATCACTGGCAATTTTTCAAATGAGGTTAGATTATTTTGAAAAACAGCAGAATAAGGAGTAAATTGTAGAATTTCTGTGGCCTCCTTGCAGCTAAGCTGCTGTCTAGAAATCCTATCACAACAGTAGCACTAGTAACCTTAACTCCGGCATTTCCTGCTGTAAAAACTGTTATTTTAGGTGGTTTCTAAAGTAATGTCTGAGCGTGTGGTTGCATGCATGGACTTCCTAACTTCATAGTGGCAACCTCTCCATGCTCTACCCTGTGGTACGTTGCCATCTCTTTCTGGCCAGGCTGGGTCCTTTTCAGCCCACACACAGTTTTTTACCAGGCCAAGTGTCTTTTGGCTCTGCATCAGCTTCAGTAAATGCCAGCATCTCTTTAGTGCCCATGGACCTCTACGCTTACCCTGGGACCTGCTCCAGGAGGTGAATACTGAAACCACAGGACATTCCCTGCATTTCTTCCCCAACTGTAAAACCACATCTCACCCAGCTTTGTCCCCATTTGGTGTGGGCATCTCCAGGGACATCAGCATGTGAGAGGTGAGACCAGGGTGGTGAGCACCTCCAGGCACATGCGGGGTGTAGCTGGCAGCCACAGACACTTCTATGGGACCACTGAGTTTTTGGGAGGATGGTGTGACTGAGGGTTGTGTTCCCTGGTTTACTTTGCACAGGTACAACAGCCAGCTCGAGTAGGGTATCCATGCCATCAACCTGCCCACCTTTCCTCAAGGAGGTGTGCCTTCACCCCTCTGCCTCACCTTCCTTGGGCAGGTAGGACGGCTGAATGAGCTGCCAGAAGCTCCTGCTGCTCTGCCAAGGGGCTCTCCTGCTCAAAAGCCATCTTCAGCTGCTGGTGGCAGGCAGCTGTGGCAGGGAGGATGCGTTTCTCTGTGCTGACAGACACGTCTCAAGGCAGAGCAGCTGTACGTGCTGCCTAAGGAGTGACCGAAGCCCAGATTGATGCTTTTCAGATGGTCCATGAAGCCAGCCTCCACGCCTTCTCTTCCTGTTCGGCTCCTGTGTAAGGTATTAGTGGATTCTGGGCAGATCATGCAGGAGAGCTCAGAGCCTCATCTTGCTACCCAGGGATGAGTTACCCACCAGCCATCCACTGTATTTATACATCTACAGCAAACCCCAACAGATCCTCAGAGATGTACAGTAACTGTTTCTTCTTAGCAGATTTGGCAGATGTAGAGTTGCTCTGCTCTGCGGGAGGGTCCTTAATGCCATACCTGTGCAAATTTTTGGCATCTTCAATGGTCTTAGGCAAAGTTTTTCCCTTCATCTCAGGTAGGAGCAAAACCAAGCTGCCATTGATGAAGGCAATCACAGCTGCAAACACAGAACAAGGATCACAAAGGCAACTCGGTGATCATGCCTAAGTTTAATTCCCAGTCACTCACTAATTCTCATTGAGACACAGCTGCCCACACATTTGAATAAGGACTCCTCAAAGTGATAATAACACTTGACTTTTTATCGATGTCATTCCCATCTTTCAGTAGCTGCAGATATTTCTGCGGTGGAAAGCTGTCCTGGGCCCTAGACCCAGAGGTGGTCTGACTCCCTTGCTTTGTGCACACAGTGCGAAGGAGACAGATTTTGGCTCTAGTTGTCCAGCTGTCACGGGACTGGGGTGACACTATCTGTCATCCCTACTTTTGGCTAAATTAGGACATGCACAAAAGATTGCTACCAGCCCACCTGGCTCATTTCACCTTCTGATTAGCTTTTGAGCCTGCTAGGCTGAACCAGTCTGAATCCGTGCACTAGCAGGCATTTAAGGCTACCCTGTTTTTAGGATGGTAGTCTTAACATTAGAGCTGACATGCTGCTTTGCCATGATAAATTGCCATGGGATCCTTGATTGACTGGGCCCCTGGGGTGCCGGCAAGAGGTAGAATGTAACTTTTTCATAGGGACACAGGAGGCCATCCTGCTTGGACCTCAGATCCCGTAACCATGTGCAGATGAGAGTGGCAGAACCCCAAGACATTCCTCCCTTGGAAAGGGCTCAGCAGGAGGAAGTCAAAGCTTGAAAGAGCTGTCCCAAAAACATGGGGTCTCTTCTGCTGCAGAAAGGGCTAAGGGGTGACTTTGGCACAATTTCCAAATACCCAGATCAAGCACACTTACCAAGTTGTGCCTTACATGTGTACACACACACATGTATATACATCTGCCTACCTTTTTTTTTTTTTTTTTTTTTTTTTAGGGGCAAGAAATAGATCATCAAATTCGTTCATCCAGGCTGTGGCCAACTGACCCATCCCATAGCTCTTACCAAAGATGACTGGGGCAGTTCGTGCCAGAGCTCTGCTTGTCTGTACACAAGGAAGGGTGTTATGATCCCACCTAGGTCGCACATGGACGGGCAGACGAGGACTCCCAATGTCACCAGCTCTGCCCGGGTGACCTCACACGGGTCTGCACCCCAGAACCCTGGCAGGAACCCCAGCAGCCGGGAGCAGGGTGCGAAGAGCAGGTCAGCACCCTGCCTGGATTTGCAAGCTTGTGGGAGGAGGGATGGGCCAGGAGCCTCAAGGAGAAAAAATGCAGATAACACCCTGGGGCTTAGAAAGACCTGGCCCCTATCGTGGCGAATGTAGTCAAAAGAGAGCAGAGGCAGAGCATTCTCCTTTGGAGAAATACTGCAAGACGAAACGCAAGAGTGATGGGTTTCTGTTGCACGACTCAGCAGCTCTCCTCCACCTTTGCAAGGTGTATTTTATACATGCAAACTCCTTTTCCAGGGCAGTGCATGAGCCACAGGCTGCTCAGCTGCATCCACAGCCTGGAGTTGTCCTCTCAGGGTCTCTTCCAGAGAAACACCGCGTGCTTTTACCAGCTAACAGGAGGTGGTGCTCTTACCTGAGAAATGTTGGATACAGCTCAGGATTTACCAAGCAGATCATTTCGTAGTACATGGTAATTCCCATCCTGCCCAAGCAAGCAGCAGTCATTTTAAGCCAATAAAGAGCTGGAAAGACATTGTGCACATTAAGGCTGGAATACAAAACTTTTTTTTCTGCTATTGACATAAAACAGCAGTAAAGACTTAATTTAAGGAAACAGTGAGTTTGCTGTCATGAAAGGTCAAGAGGACAGCACATGATGGTGTTCCATGTCACTTGATAAAGAATTTATAATGCAATTGTCTTGTGATTCAAGCAAATAACTAAGACTTGAGACTTTGCTAAGTTGCTGTCACAGAGAGGAGAAATCAATGATTCAGTGTAGTTTGGGTTATCCAGTGCATTAACCAAAAGCTTACGCAAGACACCATTTCTTGCTTGCAACAAAACTAAACAGAGGGCAGTGGCATTGTTTGTTAGTTGAAATCTGCTTATCAGTGAGATACTCTGTACTTTTGCGCAGAAGCTTCTGATGGTTTTCAGGCTGGGACAATTTGTGTTGCCCCCTTGTGTGTGCTCTACAACTGCTTTCACACCTGGAGCTACAGCTGTCTGCTGCAAATAAACGAATATCCCAGCCCTGTGCGTAGAGTCAGTCCAGGACACCTCTGTGTGCCACGTGGGCTTTTAGATCCTGAATTGACCTCGGATCATGGCTTTGGCTGTTTCAGCTGTTAGCACTCTTGGAGCATTGAGTTTCATGACCCAGCTGAGGGACGCATCAAGCTCAGGGCGGTATTTTACTGACCCATAGCTGCGGGTAATCCCTGCCAGCAGATCCTCTTCGGAGCTGAGACACCAGCCCCTGCTGCACGTGGCTTGCAGCAATTGCAGCTCTGGGGGGGTCCAGGGCCATCCTCTGCCTGCCCCGCTGCACCCGCAGAGCCCACCTGGGTGAACACCAGCCCTGTTCTGGAGGGTTGGAGTTTGGGCTACAGGCTTTGGGGCATTGAGCCACGGGCTGAGCCGGGCTGGCAGCAGCATCTTCACCCGCCATGCCTGTCCCCAGTGCAAGGTGCTCACCCAGGCACTGCTGGTCCCCATGCCCTGGCACAAGCAGCAGCTGTGGTGACGTGAGACTCCCACCCCTGTGCTCCCCGTGCAAAACCCAGTGGTCCCTTGCATAGTCCCTGCGCTCCCCAGTCACTTGTTAAAAGGAGTTTCCATTGTCTGGACACTTGGGGTTTTTTTACCTATGACATTTTCCCGTAACATTTTGTGGTTTTGTCCTTGTCCCCTCGTGAACTGATAGCTGTTTGGCAATGTTATGTCTGTGGTTTCAGTCTAGCTGTATTCCACAAAAAACAAGGAAAGATGTTTCGTTTGGTGGCCCTTAAGGGACACATTTATTTGAGACTATGGCCCTGGAGAGAATGCTTAGCTAAACAAAAGCCAAGTGCCTGTCACCATGGTTGCTCAACATCCTACATTTATTGCAGCAGCACTGTTGATGTGCAGACGCAGAAAGCACTTACTGGACCCAGATGGTGTTTAAGTGTGTGCGCGCGCCCATACATTTTTCCTCTTCAGAAAAAGAAACCACGGGGATTTTTGGATGAAAACCCTGAATTGTGCATTCAAATCCAAATTTTAGGCCAGGCAAAAATTGTGTACTTAACATGGCATGTCTTGTGATCTGGCACCTGCAGACATGCCATCTGATTTGATGCCATTCTGGAAATGTAATTCACCCCATTTCCCCAGCCTCTCATCAGCTGGTATAAATGCTGATGGTGGGACATACATTAGCTTTTATGGTATTTGTCTTCATTGGATCGCAATACTGACATGGGCCAAGTTAGGAAGGATTGTTTTCGGTTTTCCAGGGCAATAACCAAGAGATAGGGAGAGAATTCATTGTTGGAGGAGGTTGGCATGACTCACTGTCTGGGACTAACACTGCAATGAGGCAAGCACCACCCGCCATGATGTTTGCTGCAGCCCAGGGGTAGTGATGGCCAATGCGATCCAGTGTCAGCATGAGGATGAAGGCGGCTGGGAACTCGATGAGGGCAGAATAGAGGAAATACAGATACTTGTTCCCAGAGGCTATTCCCATGTGCATGTTGAGTCCCTGGTAGGGGACGGAGCTTGTGAACCTGGGCAGAGAACAGGGTGCAAATGAAGCCAAACCCTTTGGGAGAGAGTTCACACAAAGAACTGAGATTTGCAGCTGGTCAGGAGCAAAAAACACTTACATCAATGACGAGGATTTAGGGTACAGAGTCACAGACCTCCATTTGGGCTGCAAAAACATTCCCTTACCACCTGTACATCAAAATGAACATTTGTTTTCTTATTTGAAGTATCCTGACCAGGTATAGAAATGAAGGTTTCAGCTCTTCTCCGTCTTGGGAGCTGAGATTCTGGGTGCACAAGTGACAGAGCGACAAGAGATTACAGTGGGCAGGGGAGAGGGCGGTGAGCACTGCAGTGAATATTTTCCTCTGGATTAATGGGAGGATGAGAGTTTTCATTTGCTAGTTAAGTAACTGAGGGCAAACTTCTCCAGGGTGCTTTGGGGAAAGGAAACATGACAATTTATATGGCAGTCTTCATGTTTGTGTAGCCACATGTATGAGGCTGTTGCGTGGCGTGAAGCAGCATTTAAAAAAAAACCTCAAAAAATAAGGATGTTCTGGAATTTTCAGTCATGACATTTGGTGAGTTTACTGTTGGTTGATACTACTTAAGGGAAGAACTTTTCTTGTCTTGCTGGCTGTTTTTGGAAGCCTCTTTTCCCAATTATGCTCTGTGAGGTCCTGGGCAGTCAAAGAGAAGAAAACTCACTTAACTTGCCTTTACTTTAGGGAACTGCAGTGCTCCCTACTCTAAACCCCAAACAATCCTAAAAGCATAACATAATTTGACTCAAAGTTTGCATATATGCAGCAAATGCAGTGCAGTCACCTGGAAAGAGATGTAGCTTCTTCTTATTTCTCTTGGCAATGTGCTTAATAACTTCCATAGCTTTGTTATTTTGCTTTTGAGCTATTAGCCACCCAGGGGACTGGGGCAGACACCTGCAACACATATAAGCATGACAGGGAAGGAAAATTCATGTTACTGGTACACAGAAAATGAACATGAAACTGAGTTTCTCAGGCTAGGATCTGATCATGTATTGAATATCCATGGGTGGTACTGAACTCAGTGGTAGCTGTGGCTGTCAGCGGTTGTACTCCGATTTGTGCTCCACTTGAATGACAATGTAGGCTGATTTTTAAATTTTTCTTTTTTTTTAAGGCTAAAACCAGTTTATTATACATTGGAAACATTAGTCTATGATAAATTCTGCTGATGTGTTTTAGAAATGGCTAATAGTCTGTGGATGTAAAAAAGAACAGCTGTAAACCTGATCCTTAAGCATGTTAAAAATAACCTTTCAAAACAAAAAACAAACACCAAACAAGAAAAAAAACCTCTCCCAAATCTGTTTCCTGATCTGGTTGTGGAATTTTATAAGGAGCATTTTCACTCAATTTTTTACAAATAGTTAACAAAACACTGCTGATTACATTATTTAAAAAAAAAGCATTTTTAATCAATGATTAGAAAAACTCACTTCTCACAGTAGCTTGAAGTACTGTTCAAGAAATAATGACTTATTAGTTTGTGATGGGTGGCAAGGACTCCAAACACAGTAGTGTTCCGATGTGTTGCAGGTAGTCCCTTGCTCTTAGGTGAATCAGACTAAACCCCTGGGCAGTGGGAACAGAACAACAGAAAAATGCCAGATCTGAACAGATGTTGTCTTGCAAATCCTACAGGTAGCACGATGGCAGATCCCTACAGAGGAGCTTCAAATCCCAGCTACAGTCCCCTGTTTTTATCGGTGTGGCTGGGAGCTGTAAGAGCAGGCACTTACCAATAGTAGAGCAGGAAGAAGAAATTGGGCAGCGTGATGGTGAGCTGGAGTCACCTCCAGTGTGGAAGCGCGTAAGCCAGGGCAGTGAGGATGAGGAGCCCCAGGGTGAAGGCAAGTCGGTAAGTGATGGCTGCTGTCCTCCAGTAGTTTGAGCCAACAAATTCTGCAACTGCAAAGACACGTGGCACAAGCAAAAATAAATTGGAGAGCTGGGGAAACATAACTCCTGCCAGCTAAACGCACGGGGAGCCCCTGTGGTTAGCCGTGCCCTTGCATCGTGGTGCATGGGCGTGGGTTTGGGTGGGAAAGCAGAGCAGGTCTGGGTCCCTGGTGTACATCACAGGGCCAGTCCCAACCCTTCCTCCTCCTCCAGTCAACTGAGGACTTTACCCCTACCTTTGAGAGTATCAAGTGCTCACCCATCAACACAGGGCAAGGGTTGCTTTCTTCCTCCGACTCCTTCTATCTAAGAACTAAATGGGAAAATAAAACAGACAGCTGGCACTTGCTTGCTTCCATCTCCCTCCTCCCATATGGTTTGGGAACAGAGCCTCCTTCCCTGCCAAACATGTGAAACAGCCCAGGAAAAATCTTTTTGGCACCAAGGCTGTGAAACAGAAGCATTATCTCTCACAGCACCACTTGCTGCCTTTCCCAGAAAAGTGTCATACATCTTTGCAGTGTTTTCCATCAGTTCTTCTCCCTAGACTTCATCCTTCATTTTGGCACAAGCCTCTCCAGGTATGAACACTCCCTAGGTTTCAGAGCTGCCTCCTAATTATTCCATTAACGTCTGTGAGCTGATGCAAGCTCGGGTCACAAACACCTGCATTTAAGCAAAGACGTGCAGTTTGTCAGTAAACAGTACAGTGTCACTGTCTGCTCTTGGATGGCACCAGTGGGGTCAGCCCTGCTGCTAAACAGGGGGCTCCTGCCCAGAAAGCACAATTGCAAGCTGCCATCACTGAAGACGTAGCCTGTCCGCCAGCCCCCGTGCTGACCAGTCCCTGCATCAGGTGGAAGATCACTGACCAGTTGTAGCTCGGCGCGAAGGCCATGAGAAGCCCTGAGACCCCGTTGACAAGGACAGTGACCAGCAGGCAGAGTTTGCGGCCAGACCTGCAGAGGGAAAGAAGGAAAGAGAAGAAACAGGCTCAGGTGCTGGCAGGGTAGGCTGGCAAACCAAAGGGCTTGAGGAGGCTGGAGATGGTCCCTGTCCCCCTTTTCTCTGTTCATTTTGAGTAGGAGACTGTACTTGCTCTTCCCTTTGCAACATTTTTAATCTCAGTGGAAGTTCGGGGACTCACCTGTCCTGTATTTTCAGGTCATTGCTCACTTCTGGTTAATGACTTAGCTAATGAGCTCAAGAGATGCTCTGACACAGCCCTTCAGCCCACCTTTCAAAGCTGCAATAGCTTTTTTAATGAGGATCTTCTTCAATAGCTGTGATCTTTACCCATTTTCTCTTCAACCTGGGCTGACTATTGAGCTCTTCTTGAAGAGGGTTTTGTACATCCCTGGTATTTGTCATTCCCTGTATCACCGTGACTCACTGATAGTCAGAAATAAATTGTTTCCAAAAGACACAAGCTTACTGGAACACTGGAACGGCATTTGTGTTCTAGCTGACAGAGATATATATCCAGTTAGAAGTATGATTTATAAAAGCCATTAAATTAGTCAATGTCCACTAACAAAAATAGCATGATAATAAATGCCAGCCAAAATAAATGTCTTCTGTTCTCCACAATAGCATCAGCAGAGCCCATTGCCCAAACATTCCTCCTGTCATGTGCCTGACACACAGACATTTTTGACTTGCCTTGAAGTCCAGCCCAAGAGAGCCTCATCAGACGACGAAAGCAGCCCTCTTCTGCAAAGGCCCTTTCCCAGTGCCCCAGCTCTGAATGGCAGAGGTGCAAGTGTTAGCACTGACCTTGGGAGCTGTCTAGGGAAACAGATGTGCCATTTCCAAGACACTTATGACTTTCAAATGTCAAAGTCAGCTCCTGGGCGGGTGCCCAGAGACTGATTGAGTAAATGAACAGGTCCAATCCCCCTGAAATAAGCACATTTGGAAAGAGCTTATGAAGCCTCATAATCAATCAATCTCATGCAGGGGAAAACTAGCACTGCAGCTGTACTCAGGCTGATGAGAAGAGAATAGGTATCTCAAACCCAGGAAACACAAAATTCCTATTCCCTGTACTAAATTTGAGGCTTCTGGGTTTGGTTTTGCCCTAAGCACAACTCTCCATGGGTAAGGGATTTTGTATTGCTCTTGGGTGCTTGCAGCGCTGCAGGACTGGGGTGACGTGGGGCAGAATGGCAGTGAGCAGAGCAGTAGGAAAAACCTCGACGCTATGATGTGTGTGTGTGCATTATCCTAGCAGCAGTGACATCCTACTGCCTCGAAACCACAACACTCCCTCTTGTCTTCTCATACTTTTACTTGATAATAAGCCTTGGTAAAGAGATGCTTCAGTATTTTGACACACACAGAGAGCATTTCAGATATAACTGGCTGTGGGTTTGGGAGCTCTGGTTTCTACTGGCTTGCAGAGCCATATGCTGCCAAGAAATGCCTTTGCTAGTGAATGTTATTGCTTAATCCATCTCTGTGCTGAAAAGGTGATTTGAAGAGTGGTGCCTGTGATGGTCACAAGATCTGCTCGCTGCTGTTTCATGTCCCGTTGTGCCTGGATGAGCGGCTGATACACATCCCCTTCTTTGCTCCCAAGAGCTGTGCATCATTATCAAAGCATCAGTTCTGGGAAAAATGACAGAAAAAATTCAAATTCACTAGAAGGCTGGCCAGAAAACAAGAATTTGGGTTCAAGAGACAGACAGGATGAGGGGTTGACATATTTTTCCAATGCAAGAAAGAAACCGACATCTTTCAAGATGCATGTGAAGAAAAGCAAATATTGGCTTCAGTGTGTCAACCTTTGTCCTTCAAATCAGGCAGGGGACTCCAGATTGGGACTGAAGACTGGATGTAGGATCTTTGTGGTACTGCTGTAGCCAGTTGATGTCTTTCACCTGAGAGGGCTTTCTGCCAAAGATGTAGCCCTGCACAAGACATGGCCAGAAAGAATTACTTTGAGAAATCACCCCATGTGATTTATCACATCAAATTTAACCCATGTTACATTCAGCTCTCCAAATTCCAATCTTAGCCTCTCTTACCACTTTACTGAAAAATTTGGTATAGACCCACAGGAAGGACAACTACAAAGTATTAAATTTATTTAGAGTCTAACCTCTTAAAAACCCCAATGGGCAGATCTATGGCATGATGACATTTGTGACAGAAAAGAGGAGGTGAGGGATAATAAGGTTTAGATCTGACTACATACAGAACCAGCTGACAAAACGGGGGAACCAAAGAAAATTTAACAAGGAGCAACTTCTTCTATTTCTGTATCTGAGAAAAACACTCCTATTTTGAAACTGATTTATGGCCATCTGGATACTGTTAAAATTAATGTGAACTGAATTTATCATGAAGATGGGCAAATAGATTTTAGTGTGTGAGTTAAAATTTAATCTCAAACTCCGAGCTCGCATTGCAGTTTGCCACTGTGAAAGAAAACAAAATCTCTTCATTTGTGAGTGCGCAGATTCGCCATGGAGCCACTGAAAGGCTGTAGAAGTGGAGCAGCACCATGGCATTTCTGTGGGTTCCTGGATCACAACAGCCTTTCAAACCCCGGGCTTAGGAACCACCATCTACTGCTTTGTAAGCAATACACAGGCCTTTTTGATCAAGGTTTAAAGGTATTAATTTCCTCTTTGAATCGTGGACGTTGTTCAGCAACATGCAGAAAGCAGATAACCAGAGGAAATGGCTCATCTCACACTTGTCTACGTACTACCTACCTGTCTGCTGTGTAGCTAATGCTCATGGAGCCAATAAAAAACCCAGCGTTCACACATGGCTGGAAGAGGTCCAGCTTCCAGTAACCCTCACACACCAGGTTAAGCAGCAAGAGCAACCACAGTTAGAGGAGTGGGAACATGCAACACAAACCATGGCTTTTCAGGCAGGGAAAATGGAATGAAACGAATGACACACAACTAGAAAACTGTCTCCACATAAGAAACCCTCTAATTTTAAACTGACATCTGCAATATATCTTGTCCAGATTTTCCCAAACTTTGTGGAAAAGTTACACCCTGGAAAATGATTGCATGATGACACATAAGGAGAGTCAGAAAGGGAGAGAAACTTTGAAGGAACAAATTAGAAAGTTCAGAAAAATCTCATCCTCTCCTCCCCACCCTTCTGCTTGAAATTTGGAGGCCACTTGGAGCATCACTTCCTTCCCAGATGCCAAGGCCTGTCTCTAGCCGCCTATTATCTTGTTGTGCGAAAGCAGCCCAGGGCGCGAGAGGTGGCGGGGCTGCCAGGAGCCCTGCCGGATGGGGGGTTGAGATGGCTGTCCGGCTCCTCATTAGCCCTGGCAAAATGCCCAGAATTTGTTTGACTTTTCTCTGCAGTGAACTGGTACTAGGTAACTTGCTTTTGACTTACAATTAACAGGTTACCAACCTGCACCCAACAACGGGAGGAGGGCAAACTGGTGTTAACCTCTCTACAGCTGGAAATATTCATTCAGGTATAACTAGACTTCAACCCAGAAAGAAGCATGAATGTCTTTGGCTGCTTATTTAATCTCTTTCTAACCCGGACAAGTTTGCTAGGGCCTTACTGAACAGCTCGGATCTGTTTCCCTGGCTCAACTGATGTGGAGGATGGCTGCTAGTGCTCTTCTCTGCCCAAACCCATCTCTCCCAAGGGAAAGTGAGGTGGCATTTCTTTGTAATTATGATGACAATGAAGCAAGGGAATATGAATACCCTGCCCGAGGAAGCTGTGAAGTATCTAGTATCACAATTTTTTAAGAATGGGTTAGAGAAACATCTGCTAGGCATGGTTTAGGTATATTTAATATGGATTTGGGGCTGGAGAAGAAGTAAAAGAGATCTCTCCTGAGGTCCTTCCTATGCTTCAAGTCTCTAAATGGCTGTTCGTACTGGTTTGCACAGTTTTTCACTTTCTGACCCATCTGTTTTAGATACTGTAAGTTGGAAGAAAAGAATGCTGCTGTTGTTACCTCATCATCTGACAAATCTAGTCCCATCTTCTACTTCTTGTTCATTGTACATTGTACATGAGTATCTCTTTGGACTATCACCCAAATGTGCAGTTACTCAGTTTGGGCTACAGGGTGCTACCCTCAGTTTGGTGACTGAAGTACTGAATTATGAGAGTAGCCATTGTCTGATTGATGACAGGCTTGCAGTATTATCCTCCCAGGAAAAGCAATCATTTCCCATTAATTATCCATATAAATCTTTGCTCTAAGTCCCTAGCAATTCTTGATATTCACTATTTATTAGCAGCCAGGCTCAGACTGTGCACCAAACCCAAACGTTACCAACACAGCATCTTCTAGCTTCAAAGTGTGCAGGCAAGAGTGATTTTGCTGGACAAACTGTGTCCTACCTCAGTCACGAGAGAGGTCCCAGGGAAGTCGTAGACCCAGCTGTCCTGGCAGGGACCCAGGGGAACAGTGCTCTGGTTGCCCGTGAGGCTGCTGAGGGGGTCGGTGCAGCTGATGCCCATCGTGTTCCAGTCCACCTCGTATCTCCTGCAGCGGCTGCTGAAATCATCCTCATGGCTGTCCCACTTGTCATCCAGGGTTGGCATCTTTGTATGTTGCAACTCATTAAAATACCTAACTCAGCTGCTTTCCAGGGCTTTGCCCTTCACAGCGTGGTTAAATAACAACTGAAACATTCGCTCGAAACTCACAAAGAATTAATTATTTTTTTGTCAATTGTCAAGCCATGCATCGCAACATTTTTCTCTCAAATGCCATTTCTAAACAAACTTTGGCTCTCTTTTGGCCTCTGTCGTTATTTTGTTTTGTATATGACATGCTTGAAACACAAGAGCTGATGTCTTAGATTATGGCCCTATCAGTCGGTCCCTGAGAGTCTGTCAGCGCACAGCGTGGGGTAGGTGATAATTCCTTTGTCCAGTATTTTCAGACGCCACAAATATTATGAAAACAATGTTGTCCTCTCCCTTGAATATATACAACTCGAGAACTTTATGCTCAAAATTACAGTGGATATAGACGACCGCTTGCACGCTGCTTTGGGGGGTGTAGAAGAAGACAACACAGAGAAGACACAACAGAGCAGATTTCTTTTGGGCACCTAATAGCTAAAGAATAGTGTTGTGCTCCAAATAGGAAACAGAGCCGCCGCCGCAGTACAAGTTGGCACTTCTGAGTCAGAGGTGCCCAGACAGAACTTGCAGGGGTTCACATGTGTCTGCCTCTCATCTGAGGAGCTGAGAGTGGTCCCAAGACCCATCACCAGCCCTCGCGTGCCCACCCTGCCCTCCATCTCCTGCCCTGCACCCTGGGGAAACAGCGGGCAGGGGCTGCTGTAATCCACGGCCCCATCTCATAAACGCTTTACAGCTGTTTCATGTGAATTTATTAGACAATGCTGATGTGTAAATGTGTGCTTAAGCAATAGAGACATCCTCAGCCTCTTCTACTGAGGGGGATGATTTCTGTCGTGTTCCCATAGCTGTGGTTGCATAAGGTCCTTTCATGCTGTTCCCCTTCTGCCTGCCCTGTAAACAATTAGCTTGGGTCAAGTAATGTAAGAAATGATGGAGGACTGGAAGGGATTCAGTGCAGCTGAACATCAAAAGTGTGGATTTGTACAAAAAAAAAATCTATGGGCAAAGATTTCTGCCTGTAAATTTCCTGCAGACAGGTTTTATTACCCCTCTTTCTAAGCCAGACTGTAATGACTTTGTAGCTCGTTCAGTGCTTCTGAAGGGAATCCCTGAGCAGGCTGCTGTCACCCAGTTAATTTCCCCCCGAGGAGCACTCGGTGACCTCTCCGAGTTTTATGAAGCACAAAACTAAATAATGAACCTTGGAGGAAGACAGCAGTGGTAAGAAACATGATATTTTAAAGGGCTATTAATAACAAGCCCTGTTGAGTTACAACGACCAGCATACCTAGGGACTGTCATGAATCACAAATGAGGCTGCTACTTTGCAATAAACATCTTTCGCAGCTAAGAAAAGACCAGACCTTTGGCCATTTACAACTAAACTGTTTACCTATCTCTGTTCAGGTCTGGTTTACATCAGAAGGAGGGAATGGGCTGCTCTCCCCATTAATGCTCTAGGAGCTCGCTGCACGAGCAACCTTTAAACCTTCCACCCACCTGCACACAGCCTGCTCAGCAGTGCACTGATTTGATGCATTTGTTAACAGCTAAAACCTGGGGCAGCCAAAACCAAATCAAATGCAACAAGAAATGCATAAAGCATCCTGGAAACCTGTTCTACTCCCTTTCCTGATTCTGCCTAGTGTAGTTTCATGCTGGGCAGCACGACAAGGAAGACTGATGCAGGGGTTGTGTTCCTATGCCAGTTATGCTGGCAGGAGGTTGTACCTCTGCTTTTGAGGCAGATTGATGTTCTTTCTCTTGGAAAACTCCCAGTATCACTTGAGTATTCTCTTGTATTGCCAGTAAGCAAATATTGTCCTGCAGTGGGAGTGACCACTGAGTAGCTTCAGATATTGCATGATGTCCAGAGGTTTTTGTTATTGACATCTGAGCTGCCCCGAATATCCCAACAAGACTCCCCCTGTGCACGGTGACCCCAGTCTTAAGGGTAAACACAGCCTGAGCGCCTCTGTTAGCAGAGGGCATCTGTGCCTCTGACAGAAGACCTGTATTGCCCTACAGAGACAAGTGCATGAAACCGTGTCAGCTGTGACAGGTTTACTGCATATAATCAGTAATCCCTTCAGTTTACCATAGTGAAGCATTGCCATGCCTGCTTTAAAATATGTCAGCCTTCCAAAAGCTGGGGTAAGCATTCTGGTACTCTGACCTTCCGGAGCTTTAGATGTATGCTCACAGGGTTGGGTGAAATGTGAACAAAGCAAAGCCTAAAACTGATGAAAAGAAAATCACAGATTCAAGACAGGTCTAATCCATCCATAAAAACAATGCAGATTGATAATGATAGTATATCTAATTCTTTGCTGTCAAAGAGTAGACTTGATTCAAAGATGTGAAAGCATCTTCTAATGAAATCACTCCTGAAGACAGAGGGACTGAGGCAGAGAGATCTAACAGGCTATCTCTCTTCAGATCCTGGTTTTCAGGTCTTTGAGAGTTTAGGCTAAAATGATTTACTAGAGGTGCCTCAGACAGACATTTCTATTCAGGTACCGCCTGAGATGCTTTCCTACAAGCCTTCCTGCATTTCTGCATTGAATTCTTTCCAGTGAATCATTCTTTCATCTACACTGTTTAGGGATGACTTTGGTTGGGTGCTTAGCTACGCATATGGACCTTATCACAGGTCTGCTTCCTGTGAGTTTAACAGGGAGCTTTGGGCATGATACTGTCTGCCACAATCATATGCTACCGTGGACCTGAGCATGACAAACTACATGGAGAGGATTGCTGTGGAACATCACTGGAAACATCCGAACAGTGAGTCGTGCTCCTACTGGGTTCACTGCCTGTGCATTAGGGTGCAGGTGAGCAAGAGAGGGTGAGCCAGTTCGATTTCTTGGTGCAAAGGTCCCACTCTCCATCCCCTTTCTCATGGCCCATTTTGGCACTTGTTGGTCCTATACTCAATTAAGTCAACTCTCTAAGTAGGCAGAGTCAGATCCTAGCAAAGATCTGGGTAGATTTATCCTGCAGTAGTCACTCGTAGGGGCTCAGTAAAGGGAAGAGGAAAAACCACCACAAGGAAGGGACAGGACCATGTGGCTGGGAGCTGCTGGGAGAGGGAAGCTGGAAAGGAGAGAGAAGAAGCAGGATGCCCTCCTTGTAGTGAAGGGGAGACCATCTGTCTTGCAGCTTTTGGTAGGGCTTCACCTGAGCTAACATCAGCCGTGTAAAAGCTGAGCATCTAGACTGTGCTAGTCATCCACGCCTGTTGTCCAGGCCTGTCCAGTCAATAGAGAAGGACACGTGTCTCCAGATATACAACCAGATGTAAAGCAGGAGCCTGCAGGGTTGGTTAATAGCAGATCCGTGCACCCAGAGTTGTTAATAGCAGTTGGAGCACCACGCAGTACACAGCTAATCTGGATGAGGTGTTGACACGTGGGGACATTTCTGACAAGTTAACCAGGGCACAAAGTGCTGAGCACACAACGTGAGGTTGACTGCTGGTGGCCAGACAACACCTGATCTCACGTGAATCCTGCCGGGAGAAAGGTGCCCGTCAAAAAATGTTTAAGCAAATTTGGACTGCCAGAGAGTCTGTGATACACTAGTGCTTTGTGTCACGGGACAGCTCTGAGAGCCAGATATCTAAGAGCTGACTATAGAGGGAGCCTACACACCTTGTTTTTAGGCTGCTCAAGTTATTTCAAACAACATGTGTTTGCACTTGATATTTATTTGCACCATGAGAACGTATTTTATAACTGAGAGAAACAAAGTGTACTTTTTATGGTTGGCTCACATACTACTAACACATTTTTCTTAGATGATAATCACACTATATTTGGCAAAAACCCTCTAGTTTTTATTTGCATCTAGATCCAAAAGTCACAGCTTGAGTTCATTTCCTCCTTGAACACTAATTACCACATAGCATTGTGCAACCTAGGAATGTCTCCCTCGATGACAAAGACAGCTTGGTGCACCATCCTTGGCTTTTGCTGTGGCATAGAGCATGATGTGTTGCTGGAGTTTGTTCTCTGAACACCTCATTTCTGCAGTTGCAAGGTGGCATGGCTTTTTGCCAAGGGTGGGAGCTCTGGTGAGCTGCTGTGCCGCTGGTATTTGGGTCCACGTGCTGCCCGAGTGCCCCTGCTTAGCTGGGGTTGAAGGATGCTCCAGCTTGCCTAGGGAAAGGGAATTGGCCCTGGGGCAGTTTGGTCCTGCTGCTTTGCTCTGACTTCTCAAGGAGACGGCAAGGTCAGCCCACAATGCGCCCAGGGTTTGCCCAGCTGCTCTTATCAGAGGGGGCAGAGATAACAGGTTGCCAAGGGCAGAAAAGGAGTTCAGGCAGCCCTGTAGCTACTGGCACAGAGCCTGGAGGGTGTGCTAGGCACTTCAGGAAAAAACACACAGGTTTTGTTAAGTGTTGATCAGACCTTTTGACCTGAGCCCACCCACCACCCACCCATCCCGTTCACAAAGCTCCCAGAGCTGCCTGGAGAGTGTGACTGCAGCCAGCAGCAAAGCTGAGGCTGGACCCAGCCAGAGCAGCCTTCCTGGCTCCGGGGCAGTACAGCACAGGTACAGCACAGGCTGTCCACAGTTTTCCTTGGGTCTCAACCCAGTCTGCTATCACAGCCACCAATGTGACTGGGAAGGACACGAGTCCCAGGGCTTCAGCTTCCTGGTGAATGGCCATGTATGGCTGGAAAGAACGAGCCCCATCCCCAAGACTTGGCAGTCGAACTCCTAGGTTTGTTATTTCTTTTGCGTAGGTGAACTGCTGATACCTGCTCTAAGGGTAACAGGACTCAACATGAGACAAGTGTAAACTGTACAAATATTACAAGGTTAGATCCTACATGAGGGACTTGATAAACAAGTGAGGATGGAGTGTCCCTGGGGACTGAGGCTGCAGCATAACATATGTTTCTGCTGGTGGTGAAGGTAGGTTTTGCTGTATTGGGTAACTG